ACGAAACAGTTTGTCACAGCCCCTCATTTGTTGTCCTCTTCTCCCTCTCTGCCTACGGTTTACCGGGCAGTTCTATTTGACGATATATATATATATATATATATATATATATATATATATATATATATATATATATATCGCAGTTCTGTTTGTGACGATATATATCGTATATATCCGCTCCTATGCCTCCTGCAGACAGTCCAGTTGCCTGCAGGCAGCCACGACACCATGTTTTATACCCTGCGGCGTTAGATATTCACAACTCACCTGTACAACACGATGTTGTCCCTGCCCAGAGTACACTCCCGACTAACAGTCCCTACTCAGGATGCAGCCCTAAACGTTGAAGGATTGGAACATGATCTGCCCGGATTGCAGTTGACCCCACAAGGTGTAGACCATATGGGGGGTCTGCAAATGGCTGACCAGCACTGTTCGGATGAACCACAAATTTGTGCTCCGTCACGCGCAGACCACATGGGTGATCTGCAAATGACTGACCAGCAAACAACCCAACACAGTTTGGCCTTGCAACACCGTCTGGGTGATCTGCAAATTGTTGGCCAGCATCCAACAAACCAGCCTGCCTGTGAACCTCACCAATCTCTGTGGTCTGACGACAACTAATATAATATATGTCTTCACATTCTCCACCGCCTGTTTTATACACCATCAGACTTCCTTGCAATCGCCCTTCAGCTTGATGCTTGATGCTGATCTTCCCCAACTACAGCCAGAGGATTGTAATTATAACAGCGAAGGAGGCTTTACCATTGCTGTCCTACAAGGGGCAATGAGGGACCGTCAACTTTAACTACGCAATGCTCGAGCAGGTGAGTGATTAATCCTCCATCCCACATCTCTGCCCGCATTGTGCACGGGCCTGGCCATTACATGGCCATTGTACATGGCTCTGACCACTGGGAACTGTGGGACAACGGCACCATCGTCCATGCTATGACTGATGTCACCGATTTCTTACAAAATGATGCTGTCTTCTTGCCACAACAAACTGTCCGCAATCTCTTTTTTGTCGAAGATCATTCCTCTGGCCCCGTGCCGCAGCAAGACAATGTACCAACACTCTGCGACCTTCTCCTTTGCACAGCCACAAACACTGTTATACTGGCTGTAGCCGCCATCGTCTCTGTCACAATCACTACAATGACATGGTTTCTGCATCCATGTGTGCAGAGGACTGTCCCTCTGTTCCTGACTGCAGGCACCCTCTGCATCCGGACACTATGTCCATTTTGCGGCTATGGGCGCTATACTGAATGCATGGTCTTTTGTGGTGACCGTTCTTCCTTCATTTTGGCCTGCAATCAACATGCCATTTGTCGGTTGTGTATGGTGGGCATGCTGAATGCCAGCCGTCGTGGCAATTGTTGCACTGAGAATGCGCAGCTAGGTCTTCCATGCGTTCATCCACCTCATCCTTACAATGTATGCCCTCTCTGTCGTCAAGGACAGACTCATTCTTGAGCTTTTTCTTATCCTCTTTTGCCTTCATCTTCACTCGACACTCCGTACTTTCCCTTACTTTCCCTTTATCGTTCTTTGTTTGTCTGCTCTCCATCTCTCCTCCCTGTGTTTATCCCCTCCCCCTTCACTCTGCCCCTTTCTCACAGAGTACAAGTGGGCTGTTATGGTACACGGGGATCGGGCAGCTCGTGCTCAACTTCATCAACGTGGCGAGCCTTGTACGTGAGAGGCACAGTGAAGGGGGAGTTAAAAGAAGAATGAGATCAATGGATGGTTTCGGTGTGCCCTTCATGTTTGTCTTGTTTTTTAATTTTTTATTTTCGCCGTTTGTTTTGCAAAGTGCGCTTTTTTAGTTCATAGTTATGTGACAATATATATGTGCCTCTAGTGCCAGCGGCTTGTTTGGAGTGTATTTTTTGGCTGTGACAGACCTTTCTTTGTTTCGTGGGTGTTTTGCTGGCTTGTGATGGGGTGTGAACCGACAGTCTGTAGAGTTTTCCATCTGGTGTGGGTGAGTGATAGTCTGCTTTGATTTTCGTCACAGGTACGTTGAGGGCAGTGGTTGGTGGTCCCCACCTCAGGGTATCAGTTGTCAGGCAGTCGTTGATGCTTAACCACAACCGGGGTTAAGGAGGATTATCACTTACAGTGTAATCAGTTAGGGGATTCTGCAGACTGTTGAGGTTTCAGCCTCCTGATGAGTCGGTGAAACTCTGACGAAACAGTTTGTCACAGGCCCTCGTTTGTTGTCCTTTTCTCCCTCTCTGCCTACGGTTGGGAAGCTCTGTTTGACGATATATATATCCGACGAAACAGTTTGTCACAGCCCCTCGTTTGTCGTCCTCTTCTCCCTCTCTGCCTACAGTTGGGCAGCTCTGTTTGACGATATATATATATATATATATATATATATATATATATATATATATGAGTCGGTGAAACTCCGACGAAACAGTTTGTCACAGCCCCTCGTTTGTTGTCCTCTTCTCTCTCTCTGCCTACGGTTTACCGGGCAGTTCTATTTGTGACGATATATATATATCTATATATAGCCCCTCGTTTGTTGTCC